TTTTGCAAAAGGGATCAAAATCGAAGAAAATTCTTTTAAAAAATTCGAAGTGATAAAAATCAAACCTTATAAATTCAAATATAGATATTTTTTATTATATCAGAAGAATAAAATTTTAGTACAAGTAAGGGGAAGGGGGGAGGCCTGATTCGAAAGTAAACCTTTGATGTTCTATTAAGCGCCTTTAATTACTAGGTTAAAGATTTGGGGATATATATATATATATATAAGGTAAAAAATTATAATTTATATAATTGGACTACTGCATATTTAAGTAGACGATTTCTAGGCCCAAAGTGAGTCACAAATGGCCCCATAAGAAAATATATAAAGGAAACCATCTTAGATAGAAGTCCTAGGTTAGGAACATTGTGGGCTTTTTTTTAGAAAAAAAAAGTTATTTTTATTCATTTGAAAAAAAAAAAAAAACAGCACATGAAAAGAGTTTGTAATTTTTTAAGATTTGAATTCTAAATTTATTAAATATTACTTTTAAGAATAATTGTATAAATTAATTGTTGCTTTCTTTAAAGAATGATGTTGTATAGATTTATTGAGTTGGTTCAATTTTTTCTTAAATGAAAATTTTTTTCCGAATTATCTTAAAGAACACATTCTTTCTTACAGTTATATTGAATTTAATGATGACAAAAGTTTGAACTGTATATCTACCGTGTTCAAGTAAAATGGAAGTGGATAGCTATAGGTGGAAGTGTAACACTTCAATCTCGTATCAAGAGATTTTATAAATTTATTATAATATATATGTTGAGATTTAATTTTAAATTTATGAAATATTTTTTATAAAATAAAACTATGAAAATTTTAAATTAAAATAAATAATCTTATAAGTTAGGTGTACATCTTCACATAAACTATGGTGGTGGCGCTGGTTTTTGGACTCCACTTGGGTATAAATGGGAAGGGATTGTTACTTTGTAGTAGGGCAGAGAATTGGCCGACGGTGAGGACAATGTATTTGTATCTGGTTTTTCCCATAATAATGCATTGATTCTTATTAATTCAGATAAATTATGTATCATTTTTATTTGCCATGGTCATATATTGTCTATTGAAGTGGGTTTTTCTGTTTCTCCCACCTTGTTATACCTCGAAATTATGAAGTCAAAAATTGAAAAGATAAGAATTGGAAGTATCTCCTGTAGCGCTTGGCTCTTTCCAAGGGCTAATAGCCGAAGACCAATCACTTTAAAGCTTCCAAGCTGGAGCTCTTTGTTCAAAGATTGCAAGATTCCGACATACTCTATTTCCATGTCGGTTGACATGTTCATCCGGCCCTCTGTTGCTATTGGCATCTGCAATAGCAAGAGTTGAACTTCCTTGCATCTATATGAGGATTAGTAAACTTAATCGATGATAAAGTTAATGCATAATTTGGTCTTTGAATTATATTGTTTTTAATGATTTAATATTTATAAAAAAAATTTATAATTAAACATTTGAATTTCGGTTTTATTTAAATAATCTACATCACAAAAAATATATTATGTGTCATGATATTATTAATTATTTTTTTGTTACATTAATTTACGGTTAGCAAATTAATATGTGAAGAAATGCTTGACCAAATTGAAATTTGAATAATTAATTATGAATTTTTTATAATCATTAAATCATATAAATAATATATTTTAAAGACTAAATCACATGTTAACCCCGATATTGGTACCTTCGAATCTTGTGTCTTACTCAGATAAAGGGAAGGGAAAAAAAAAGGGGGGGGGGGGGGGGGGGAGAGGGGAGTCTAGCATAAAGATAAAGGAGGTTTTGTTTTTGGACCTACCCCTAAATTGTGGCAGGAACTTGATGATGCTAGGAATCCTTTTGTGCCGACCTAAAACATGACCGGACAAAAGTTGCCAAAGTTGGTTTGTTCTACCTGACGCACAAGCTGGGCCTTCCCAATTGGATTAATCTCCAGAAAAAAAGCTCAGCTCCACTAGGCATTTTGCGAGTCAAATTGCCCAAGGCAATGTCATTTACAGAAACAAAAGATACCATCAAATTTTGAGTTCTTGGAAATCTGAAGTGCCTGAGGCTGCTGCATAATGTTCCATGGTAAAAGAAAACATTAGGTTTTACCTTAACCAAGGTTTCGAAAGAATGTGATGTGACGAACATTTTTATTAACATCAACTCGAAAGTTGAAACCTCGATATTTCAATCCTTGCTCAGTTTCTTTCTTTCTGTGCCTTTTTGACAGTTGAAAAACAATATTCTCAATCAACATGAAATTTTTTTAGTGAGATCGGTTTCGAATTGTTTGATATAAAAATTCCAAGAAATGGAATCAATTCGAAACTTTATGTAAAATTACATTGATAAATTAGATGGTCGGCTTGTTAAAATAATAATAGTATATTTAATTAATTCAAGTACGTAATACACTATGCTTTCAGATTAGCTGGAAGCAGTAACTAATATTACACCAAGTAATGGGTATCTTCTAACGATGAACAACAATGATTGCTACTTTACAAATACAGTGTGGGAAATTATACCTTAGCTCTTATCAAGGTGCGAGTCACAATCATTGGAAAACCTTCAAAAACAACCATTCTTTATAGAACCATTATGGTGATAGAAACCTCTGTCATGGATCATTTTACAGCATCAGAAATGCATGGTTCCTACCCCTCAAGACATGTCCCAAAGGATAGTTTTGAGAGTGACCATCCTACTTTCTTACCTTCTAGTGGGTAGAGTTTTAGTGGTGTTGAGATGGTCCAGACTCTAAGCTGTTGGTTGATGCAGGACCAGAGAAAGTCCAGATCCCTAACCCCTGTTATTATCTAATGAAATTTATTCCTTTGTGAAAATGGGACCCCCATTCAACAATATGTGAAGATCAACATCATTCAAATTGTCAAATTGCTTATTATCTGTTCTCAAATGATCCTCACTTTTTCGTGGCAAAATTTAGCTACTTACACCAATTTGAGTACATATATATACATATGTATGTATGTGCACATATATAATTATATATATCATATGTACATGGCATATATACTTAAAGATTTATGATTAATTCATTATCACGTATAATGCTTCATAAGTGTATCTTGTATGAAATTTTAAGAAAAAATTATATGAAACGTTTTTTAATTGAAGTGTTCAAAATTCAAATCTCAATAATTTCATGCATATGTATTTGTATATTAGTAATCTCAAACACATGCATATGCAGTCATTTATTTGCATACATGATTAGTTTCTGTGAATTATGATCCTCATATTTTCATATCTAAAAGAAATCAGAAGACAATGCAGTATTGTATGCATGTGAGTTATATGCTGAAACGACAAAACAATGCTTGTACTTTTTTCATCCATAAAATATTTTAAGACTATAATTGTGCATCTTCTTTATACCACTAGCACAGACCCACACTCAATTAATGAGAATCAAAGGGTTGAAAAATGGTTTTGCATTTTTTTTTTTTTGACATTTATTTGAAGCTTTGATCTACCTGTTAAGATATGGTCTAAAAAAATCCAGTTCTTATGTGGGACTAAAGAGTATTTTGTGACTTGACACTGAGTGCTTAAAAAAGAAAAAATTCAAAGCTGTTTTGAATAGGATTGGCAGTTCAATATGCTTCCGACGAGTTTTTTAATCGATATGATTTTATAGAATCAAAAAAAATTTTTTTAAATCAAATTTCATATCGGATTGGATAATATTAAGAAAAAATCAAAGTCGGATTGAATTCAAATTTTAAGTAAATCCGATCCGATTTAATAGTATATAAAAATTATTTTTTAATTAATTAATTAATTAATTTATATATTTATATTTTTATATTTTAAAAAATAATATTTTATATTTAAAAATAATATTTTATTAATTTCGAATCGGATCGAATCAAATCATATATATTTTATATAATATCAGATCAAATTAAATCTAAATAAAATTTGAGTATGAAAAAAAAAATATTTCAAATCGAATTGAATTCAAATTTTATTAATATAAAATCGAATTAAATTTGAGACGAGCAAAAAATCACTCCAATCCAATCTGTAACCGACCTTAGTTTTGAACTTGTTCATTGAATGAACCGGAAAATTGCTGTTTTGGTTTTAGTCAACTAACTCTAACTCAATAGATTTTACAAATATTTCTCCCAGTACCGTATTCATATAACCACTGTACCTTTTTTCCAGAAGTATTCCAACCAATTAAATACATCACTGATATCAGATGATTGGCAACTATAATTAGCAAAACCAAATAGATAAGAGTCCTTTGGATCTGTTCATCCTGATATGTCAAAGTACATAAAAATATTAACATATACATACGTATATATTATATACATCTATTCATGTTTCATTTTTGGAATAATTTTACGAATGATTGTGAAAGATTATTTTTCCAATATATGTCATCTTTTAAAATTAATTATGTTATGAATAAGTATTAGATTAATTAATAAATTTAATTTAAATAATAATTTAAGTATTATATTAAATACTTTATTATAATTAATCACTTAGCATTAACTCTTATTTTTTAGAAACTTTTAACTACTAAATACAAGTGAAATCCGTAGAACAAACGTAGTTTTGAATGAATTATGTCTGACTTTTGAGTTGGGCAGTGATATAGATCATAGAGCCCTTTGACATTTAGTGTTTAGAGTATTAAACAACCAAACTAAGTATGATGGAGTAATCTTTAAAAAAATAATACTAACAGATGATTCGATCTCATTGAGAAAAGCAAAAATAGAAAGTCATAATCCTCTCTTTATTGTACATCATTGGCAAAAGTGGTACTTAATTTTGTTATCCATAGAACAGAAAATCCCAAAAGTTAATGGCACGTGAAAAGAAAAGTCTGTTTCTTTACTCTTTGTTTTGGGTTTTTTTGATGAAAATCGGAAGCAATTGTCAGCTGCCCCGTTTTTACTATCAAAAGAAATAATATAATCTCTTGATTAGTGTCATTGGCATGCATGAGCCCACGTGGCAAGTCCTGAACCTCATACTTGAGAATCTTAGTAAAAAGCTTGGAAGGCAACTATACATCATGTAAACTGTGGCATTGGCAGTCACTTTAACTGAAAACCTCTCTTTTTTTACACAAAATCCATATAAATTGTTTTCTTCTTTTGATAGCTACTTTTGTTAGTAATTTTCTTTTCCAGGGTTGTAATAAAAAGAAGCTGCAAGAGGAATTAGCTATACTATGTTTTTCATGGATTTAGGGTGCAAGAGGTATGTGGGTCTCCATAGATCAGGCTTTTTTTCTCACTCGGGTATTTTTCTCAATTTTTGATAGTTTTTGCTTAGGTTCAGCTCCTACTTCTTTCTTAAATCTGCATTTATCTGAACCTGGTATGCTAATTTTCTTCTATTTTTTTGCCTCATAAGTCATACTATGGTTGATTGCTTTCTCAATTATTTATTGTTGTAAATTTTACTGCCAATTTATTGTGGAGCAGTCAATTTGTGTGGTGGATAACTTTTTTTTTTTGGTGCACATGTGGTAGATAATTGCTCATATATCTCCTATCTTTTCTCTCTTTTGCATGTTTATCTCAATGTATTGAATCTTTTCATCTGTGAGCCATGCAAGTTTTGAATCATATTATTAGGAAGATTTTTTCAATGAAAATAATAAGTTGTCTCTGTATTTTCCTATATTTTCATGTTTCTTAGTTTGTTTTTCCTCTTAGTTAAGTTCACTAATTGGAGAGTTTCAAGTAATTCAATTAATTCAGGTGTATGGTTTGAAAAGATGTTCAAGATGGAGTGGTTTCTGGTGCAATTATTCAAGTAGTTACAGGATTGAGTTTTTGAGGGAAGCCAATTTATGTGAAGAAAATGCTAAGATTAACTTCAACCAAACCTGTGCCAAGTAAATAATTAATAAGCTGCATCAATAGCTAGCGTTTGTGGTTCCATAAACTTGCTTTCTTAGTAGCAACAAGTGGAGTAACTGGTCTATTAACGACAGGAAGACTGGCTTATGGCTTTGTGATTCTACATGCAGTCCTTGATTGATCACATGATCCCTTATATAAACTGAATGATCAACAAACATCGCAAGTAAAATCTTTTTTACCAAAATATTTGAGTAAGAACCATATCTTGTTTTGAATATTTATTGAACTGTGCTAGAATTCTTTTCTATGCAGTCATTGGGATAAGAGATTAGTCACTAGCAGCATTTTAATATCCTTATCACTTTCATTTTCGTTATTATTCTTTTCTAGATAGTGTGTCAGGAATCACACTGATGTATAGATCTCAGCTATGAATGACAGTGGAAACACCAGAGAATGCATAGAAGAAAATTATTATGTTGATTTAAAATGCAAATTATCACGCGAAGGGATTTGAGTGTTGTTACTGTGAGAGCTGTAAGCATCTATTCTGCGCAATGCTGCCAACTCCTGGATAATGTTACGATTTTCTTCTCTTCATCATCTTCAAGTTGTCATACCTTTTGACTACCATATGGCTACTAGAATGAAATTAGAATGCTTAATATTGGATTTACATCATAGACTTGCATTTGATATAGATTTTCTTGTTGGTGTTCCACATCCTCATGCGCTGATGAAGTGTTTGCCAAAAGTAGAATGACTCTGTTAATTAAGTTGCATATTCATGGCATGGCTCCCTTGCTACATTATATATCAGACCAAACTACTACTTAACCTGCTATGCTCCAGTCAACTTAGCTTTGATCGATGCCTTTTGGAGTTTTCTGTAGCATGTCCTTTGGCAGCATATAAATTTATTCAAAATAGAATTGAAGGGGTGATGGAGGACGAAGACATAAATTCATGACATATCATCCAGTAATGTCCTATATGGAGAGTGGATTAGTGACAATTCCATAGACTTTAATAGTTATTGGTTTTATGCCTAAAAAACTGAAAAATCTTTTTCAGTTGTTAATTTCTTTTTTGGATAATTATTCACAGTAAAAATAGGGACTAATGATGCATAATGTCGATGCATAGTGTCATGTATTAGTGATATGTAAGCCATGCAAATTTATTTGTTCAAGTTCAAAGGTTAATAGTGGATTCATTTGTTAATAAACGGGTTGTAGCTTTTTGCTTATCACATTCAATTCTGTTCTCTCCAGGAGAATGGTGAAAGAATTCTGTAAGATTTTCATTTCATTTTGAGAAATGAATTTCCATATGATATCTTATCTTCTGTGTTCTTAATTTATATATGGTCCCTGAGGTTTCTGAATGCAAATTAAAGAGTATAATTTTCAGTTCTATTAGATCCAGTTCAAGTTTCAAGTTGTATCAATGCTGCTAGAAATTTCATTGAACAATTCCCTCATATGCCTCTCTCGAATTCTAACAAAATTTTCTTTAAGAAACGGTTAATAGCATGAATGATCCTTAAACTATAGTAAAATGCTTAATGTGGTACTTGAACTTTAAAAATTTTTAATGTGGTACCTGAACTATGAATCTATTAACTAATATGGTACTCACCTCTAATGTAGCTAGCTTCAAATAATGATATATAGTGGACAAACAACCCTCCAAGTATCACATTAGTTAACAAATTCATAGTTCAAGTATAACATTAGAAATTTTTAAAGTTAAAGTACCACATTAAGTATTTTACTGTAGTTTAGGGTTCATTCATGATATTACCCTTTAGGAAAATGCATGTGAGAAAATGGTGAATATTTTGTTCTTTTGGAAACAGTTCTATATGTTATCACCACAAGGAAGACCTGATATTAATGCTTCTGGGATTTCAGGATTGCAAACTGAAGTGCCCATCCAACAAAAATGAACGTGGAAAATGAGAACATAGAATCGGTGACCGATTTAAGACTTGCTCTGGGGTATTCCAATCACAGCATTCAGAGAAGATTGAGCAATGATCTCGGTGCAGGTGCAAATGCAGCTTCAAGGATAGACATTGCATTTGTGGCCTCTGACCCCCTGTCAGAATTAGTTTGGTCTCCACAGAAAGGTCCCAGTCTCAAATGTACTGACTGCAGTTTTTCTGATAAAAAACATTCCCTTGTTTGGGGTGCAGGACCAAGCAATGTGGTTCTTTCACCACAACAAACTAATACATCTGCAAGGTCAAGTAATGACAAGCCTATGGATGAAGAAATTTTCAATACATCCATATCCTCATTTCACAATATGAAAACGAAAGTTGCCAATATAGATAATTCGGACAAATCTGCTGGGGATAATGATGACATCAGGTTGTGTCATGAACAGCAGATAGATAATGATAGTTCTTTCCAAGGCATGTTAAGTTTATTCATTTGTTTATTTATTTTCTATGTTCTCGTATCTTTCCCTTCCTTTTACCCTAAAATTGCCAAGAAACTCTCCTTCTACAGGAGCTGCTGGCTTTGTAGAGGAGATAAGCACAAAGAGAGGAGAATCTGATGAAAATCGTATTGAAAAGAACGATTTAGTAGATCATAAAGGAGCGTATTTCTGTTATCCAGACAATAGCCAAGTGGCTGAAATAGCTGAGGCAATGGAAAACAATTCTCCAAGTTCACCAGGTGCTTGATGATCATGTCTTTTCTCCTTGTTTACTAGCTTGAGAAAGTAACATGTCCTGGAAAGTCTCACAGCTTCTGTTTTGTGTGATAAACTGTTAGAGGGTCTTGAATATATATATATATATATATAAAATTCTGGAACATGATAAAAAGAATCCTATACTCACCATGAGTGCTCCAGGAAACTCTGGAGCAGTTCCTATAATTTTGCTAAACACAAGATACACAGCATTCTAGATTTATGTTCTTGCTTCTTTTTGTCATTGCTAAAGTAATGGCTTGTTTTTACTTTCTTTAGTTGAATAGAGCTGATCTTTTGTCCTTTTCCCTCCTCACACTTGATATTTAACTGATATATTCTTTTCTCAACATAAAACAGATGAAATGAAACCAGATGTTGCACAAGTTGAATCTTTATTCAACTATCCTGCTAATGAAGCCAGAGATGTTGGCAGTGGGACTCAGTTGTCAAGAATGGAGATTGTCTTGGCATCTGAGGTTCATACTGACAACGAATGTGAAGCGTGTGGACCTCCAGAGACATATCTGACATCCCCTTGTAGAAAACAAGATAAATCGGCTTCATTACTGGAGAAAAATGGGGAAAGTAAGATGGAGGGGCGCATTTTTTCTAGTCTTTGGACTATGGAAAAACTTGAGGCAACTGCCGAAAATGATTTGCAGGCTCTGATAGGTGATAATGCATGTGCTGCAACAAGTAAAGTTTCAGGTTCAGAATCTGCATCTGACAATGAAAAGAACTTTCAGCACCATAAGGAGATAACACCAGAGAGGATGTCTACTGATAAACATTCTCCAACTAACAGCAGAATCGATAGATATAGAAGAAAAGGAAAGGAAAAAGCTTTATCTGATGGAGACGCTAAAGGAATGATGTCAAAAGAGGAGGATGACAGCCATGAGAGTGTTGAAAGTTGTAACAGTGCTGGATTATTCTCTACAGGCAAAAAACGATGGGGCTTTGAGCAACAATTGATTGTGGGGAGCAAAAGAGTGAAAAAGCAAATCGATGAAAGTCCTTGTTCCTCATCATTTGTAAAACAAGATAGCTCCTTCATGAACTGGATATCAAACATGGTGAAAGGGTTTTTGAAATCGAAAGATGAGACACCGTTGTTGGTGCTTACTGCTGCTAATCCTAATCAGTCACATGAGAGTCCTGTCAACAATCTTAACACAAGCGATAAGAACCATGGTCCTGGGTGCAGAAATATTGGCTTTCAATCTATTTTCCACTCAATATATTCTCCAAAGACTAAGGTCCAAGGAACACCAGAAAATGAAAATTATCAAACTGGGCTTGAGGTGTCTAACAAGATTTGTGACATTGATGCTACTCCAATTGCCTGTCATGGAGAAAATTTTAACTTCCATAAAGTATTTCTTCTATCAAATGAAAGTTTCAAAGAACCAATTTCTGGTGGTAGAGCAGGTCCATCTACCCAGCCAAAGATTTCCTCCATGAATTTGTCTCCGAGAAATAGTGAGGGAAATTCTGCAGAGAATAAGAATTCATGCAACTTGGCAGTGGGTGTGGAGAAAGATAGAGCAAGCTCCAGTTCTTTGGATAAACGTAAGGTGATGAACCCAGAGAACATTGATCCTGATCCACCATCTGAAGGAAAGACAGCTCATAACATTGGTTACAAAAGCAACCTTCTAGGGAGCTTGTGGATAACTCGGTTTACTCCTAAGTCTACTACCTCCTTGTTAAACCAGGATACCAGTCAGGCTGTTGAGTGCTCGAGCGACTGCATGAAGCTTAATCCTTGCTCCCAGAACAATGTTAATGTTTCTAGCAACATCAGGAACGTGGAGGCTAGGCAGCAATGTGCCAAAGAGCCGCTAACCACTTCTGGTAAAGAATTACCTTGTGCTACTGATGTAGAGGCATCAATTGGGTTCAATAAAATTATAATCCAAAATGACCATAAATCCAAATGTAATTTGATCCCTGCTTTACCCTCCACTAGATTAAAAGATTCAGAGGCAATAGCTTCTCTTTTTGCTAAGAGATTAGATGCCCTCAAACACATCATTCCTTCCAGTGTATCAGCCAATACAATTTCAACTATCACCTGTTTGTTTTGTGGAAGAAAAGGACATCATTTGCAGTATTGTCCAGAGATAACAGATAATGAGATCAAAGATATTCTGAGGAATATGAAGTCATCTAATAGATTGGAAGAACTACCTTGTGTGTGCATTAGATGCTTTGAGCTTGGTCATTGGGCTGTTGCATGCCCTAGTGCATCAAGAGGTCAACATCAATCAGCACGTAGAGCTTCCTTGGCTAATCTCAGTGAACTGCAATGTCATTCAAGATTTGAAGAGAACAAGAAACTTTTAGGTGACAATCAAGAAGCATTTACTGCAGGTATGCTTTGCCATGGAATTGATACTGGAAAGGGCCCCAGTACTAATTGTGGGGTTACTGCAGACAAAATGAGGTCAAGCACAAATGTGAACAAGAAACATGTAGCTTCCATTTCCCAGGAAAGCGAGTTGAAAGAAAACCAGATCACTCATTGGGGTAATTTCATCAGTCAGCAGGTTTCAGATATGCCAAAGGCAATCTTAAATGCTGTTAGGATGCTTCAGTTGTCACGGACAGATATCCTGAAGTAAGTAGACCATCATTTTCATTGGTGAAGTCATTTCTTAACTGGTGCTATGTCAGATATTTTGCTTAAAGGTAGGGGATATAGGTTCAATTGAAAGGACAAATGGTTGTGGAATCAGAGTTTCTCTCCACTGTGTTTCTGCTGATGACATCAGGAAAATAGAATGACCATAGATAAACTAAATTGCATAAAATTAAAAGCATCCCTTGCTTTCCGTTACACACGTTGAGCCTTAAGAGCTTGACTGTGAAGTATCTAAAAGAGTGGGAACTGAATATGATTCATTGGAGTGGAGTTGTATGCTGCTAGTATCTTTTATATTACCTAAAACTTAATATCAATTTTTAACACTACATGGACATCAGGTGGATGAATTCGCAAATATCACTCTCACATCTTGAAGGGTTTTTCCTGCGATTGCGGCTTGGAAAGTGGGAGGAAGGATTAGGGGGAACTGGATATTATGTTGCCTGCATAACTGGTATGACACTGAGTAGATTGTGGTTTTTCATACTTGTTTAGTTTTCAATTCTGTTACTAGAATACTTGCAGTTTTTGTTAGGAAGTTAGTGCCTCATTTAGATGTGTACTTGTTGATGCATAAGTTTTGTAGAGACATCTTTCTTGTTTTCTCTTTTATCTTGTATGAATTCATTCTCCTTCTTCTAAATGCACAGGGGCATGCAAACAGGATACAGAGCAAAATTCCAAGAATTCTGTCTCTGTTAATGTAGGGGGAACAAAATGCTTGGTTGAGAGCCAATACATATCCAACCACGATTTTCTTGAGGTAAAAATCTGACTTCATTTTCTAACCCGTTTCTTTGTATGTAAGCCATGAGGGTCTCTTTTCTTTTCTTTTTTTCCCTGTACCATGAATTGTGGTCATGCTGACAAGGAAATTTACTGGCATTCAAATTGATGATGTTCTAGATATCTAGTCACCCTTGCCAAAGGAATTTTCTTTTCTATGATTTGACTTTGATAGTTGAATGCAGAAGCGTCAAGACATTGCAGATATTCAAACTAGTCATATGCTTTCAAAACCCTTGTTGTTTGTGAACTTTACCTATGATTAACCTCTTCTAAATGAGAACAAGAGGTATTCTCAACATATTTTTATTCGAGTAGCTATTAGCAAGCTCCTTGAAATTAGTTCTTGGCATCCATTGAAATTCCATTCATGATAGCACAATAGTCAAGCGTGTCAATTACCGTACTCTCAGGATGAGAGTCAATTCTATTAGCTTAATGACAGATTAAAACCCCAACTCGGTAGAGAGATTACATAGGATGAAAACATTTTGATCTACAAAACCCCATTCCAACTCTCATTCGGTATTTCATATTTTGCTGGAGAAAACAGTCTAACCAAACTATACATGCATTTGGCAGGATGAGCTTATGGCATGGTTGCGTGCAACTACAAAGAATGGTGGCAAGCTTCCGTCTAAGGAAGAATTGACAATGAAAGTTAAAGAGAGAAGAACGTTAGGCTTTTAGGGTCTTTTATTTTTTATTTTTTAGTTTCAGCAGTTTGCATGCATTCCATTGTGGAGGGGACACGGCAATGGGAGTGAATTTGATTATAGAGTTTAGTCATAGAGTTTCGATCTCATAGTCTTTAAAAAGGTTCGAGGGAAAAAAAAACAGAACAATGAAAAAATAAATAAATAAATAAATAAATAAAAAAGAAGCATCACAATAGGAAGGATGTGTATTGTAAAGGGGATGCGGCTGTTGGAGTGAATGGTTAATATAGTTGACATGGCAATGATATTTGAGAAATAAGTCTAAAAATACAATGGTTTGGGAAATAAGTTTTTAAATTATTATGATTTGATTAAAAAAAATCCAGAATGTAATTGTCACGAGAATATTCATTCTTCAAAAACCTATTGAGCGTATCATCTGCCGCTTAATTAATGGGTTGAATTTCAGATATACCATCATGTTCTACGGTCTAATCTGTTTTGGTCTAGAAATGCCACCAATAATAGTTTTTTCTACTTAATAGTAGCAAGACTTCCAAACTTCAAAAATAAAGGGACCCGAAGGCTGTGACCATGCTGTTACAATTTTTGAGAGTCTGAGATAATGCTCCAATCTCCATGGTTATCCTCGTTCACATGAACTTTTAGCTTTGATGCCTAATCAGCAATTATTACCACCAGCAGAGGGTCAAGAATGGCCAAGGATCAACTCTCTCTTCTCCTAAACTAATCAAAAATGGTAAAATCTCTTACCAGGCTGCTTACAAGCTGGATTATGTACTCAGAGATAAAAAAACTACTTTGTCACAAACCCGTAAATGACTTTCATAATGATTTTAATGTGCATCTAAACGATCTGCAATCTCTATTCATAAACTATAACATTTGCTTAAGTATTGCATGGATCAACTATACAAACATTTTGCAAGCAATACCACTGTTTTGTGTTCTTTGGACGACTGAGGATAGACTAGTACCAATACCTACAACTTTCATCCAAAACTGCTTAACGGTTCAGTCAATAGTCAAAGCTGAAGGTCATCTACAAAGCTTAGTTCAAAGAAAATCTAGTGCTACAACAAACCTTTTTTATTCTGTTTGTGCTTTTGCCAGTGCTTAACATTTGTTAGAAAGAGAACCTGGAAACCTCTTCATCTTCATCCTCGTCTATAAGGTCTTCCTCCTCTTCAGTGAACCTCTCATAGTTATCATCTTCCTCTTCTGGTTCTTCTAGTTCATCTTCTGGATCCACCAGTGTCTTTCTTCTTCCATCTCTGTCCTTCAAACCAGTACTCAAGACAACAGTTTCACCCCTGGATTGTTCCATATCCCTCCTCAACTTGTCCATGCTCTCTTTCCTGCGTTCTTCCTCTAGACGTTGTTTTTCTGCTCGTCTCTGGTCAAGATCAGCCCTATGGAGACAAGGTTCAGCACGATAAAGACAAATTTCGGTTAATTATTATACTGTAAAACACCCCAAATGGTTTTACGAAAATAAAAGAGGAAGGCAATACTTATAATTTTCCATGTATTCCTCAGCACTGGCTTCAATAGCTTTAAAGAATTCATCCATTCCAGCACCAGAAATTGCAGACACTCCAACTGATCGCAAATTCTTATAAAATTCATCAAGAGAGAGGGAGAGGCTCTGAGTTAGAGTTGATGTGTATGAACTATCAGAACTTATTGCTGCTTGAAATGCCTCGAAATCTTCCATCCACTGCACAAATGATTTTGCTTTTCTTCTTCAAAACAACAATTCGATAACAAATCCAAAATCTCATTTTATATATTGAGTGACAGCAGGAAAGCTGGAAATAAATAAAATTTTAGAATGCTGAACAAATAGACGAAAAACAAGAATAGGAAAAAGTACAACATTTTTCAACAATTATATTAACTATGAAACTCAAGATCACTTTAACATTGGTAAATCATCAGGAAAAGTTCAGAGTTTTGAACTCTCCCTGCTGTGGGTCCTTATAGAATAGGAGCAAGAGAGGATGTGAAATCCTTCTATGACAGTTCGATTACCAATAGAATGGTTGTAGATCAATCATGTTTGCACAGCTGCCACCAGAAATAAGTAAAATATGCATCTTTTGTAACACATAGAAAAGAGCAATACATAAATATCGTGTGTGTGTGTGTGTGTGAATGCATAGAAAAGAGAAACAAACATAAGAAAAGCAATTTAAACAATTAAGAAAAAGGTGGGAAAAGAGGTCTCAGAACACTAAAGACTTTATTCCTTTGTCATAAATAAACTAAACAAGAAAAAAAAAAAGGAGATACAGGCATGTAACGAAACTTAAAATTAAATGTCAAACGCAATCTGCTTGTTCAAATTAAAGCAACAAGGAAAAACTATCACCAGATCACATGAACCTAAAAAAACACCGTATCTCCTTGTCACTAACATTGGCAGCTTGACAATTACCCTATAATCAAGCCTCAGATTCCTAGCATTTGTCTATGAGGATTAAAAGAACATTATGACATTGGCTAGTAAATACAACAGTAATGAAAAGGTAGCAAGGGAAGGAAATCAAAGAATTGCAAGAAGAGGAAAAAAAAAAAAAAGGAAGTGGTGGCTTTAGGTAGCAAGTGTGACCCAAGTAGGCCCCCACCCAAAGCAACCAGCATGTTTCTTTTTTATACTTAAACTCCAACATCTCAGTTACTCCTAAATCCTTTAGATATTTGTATTTTATGTTCGGGAATAAACCATATACCATAGGGTACCAATCACTAAACGGAAGCAATTGACAAGATATTATCCTTATCCCAAAGAAAATCTTTCCATCTAATATGGAAATTAACCATACCTCTAAAGCAAACTGATGTTGTGCGACATCAGTCTTGTTGAATGCTAGCACAAGAGGTAACCGTGTCTTGTAGAGGATGCTACAAGCATAAAGCATGTTGCTCATAAAGGTAACCGGATTTGCTGAACGAGGTGTATCCACTACGTAGGTGACTACAGTAGGAAAAGTTGAAGCAAATGCTTCTGTAATGATAGCTCCTGAAGCAGACCATGTAAATATCTCAATCTGCCCAGGAGTATCCACAAGAACAAAGTCGAGTTGATCTGCTCGCCTCTCAATTACTGAAATAACCTGAGATTAGACATTTGCAAAGTCATTCCCAAGAAATGAAAAGTGTCAAGAGCACCAAAATATGGAAAAATATAACAAGCACACCAATGGAGAGAATAAAGATGATAAAAACAGAAACAAATCTGTATGCACATGCACTGATGCAAGTAACTTCTTTTTTCTAAATAAATCATATCATATCTATGTGCATGAACTGTTATAGATAAGAGGTAAAATCTATGAAATAAATTGCTTAGCATCGTATTGATAATTCACATCAGAAAATCTAATGCAGAAGATTTACCTCATCAAACTTGGTAGCAAATAAGTTGAGTGATGTAAGGATTCCTCCATTAGGTCCAAGATTGAACTGCTTCATCACTTCTTTGTATTTAACTGTGTCTCTTATATCAATATTAGCACCAAATGGAAGGGTCATTACAGCAGGGTCAAGGTTTATCACGTAACCCCTAATATTCGTAGCTTGAGTGTGGCAAACCAGCCTATGAAGGAATGTTGTTTTCCCACTCCCTAATCAAATCAAACAGCATATCTCAACTTTCAAGTTCATTCAAACAAACTTAATCAGAACCTGAATTTCGATTAGAGACCAAATATGCAAACATATAACAAACATAAAACCACCCAATTCAGGTTCCTAGGATTACCTGCCATTCCAACAACAATAATAATAACTGGTTTCCTCTTGAAACCGGTCGAAGATGACTCGATATTTAGTTTGTCCATAATACCAGCAAGCTTCTCGTTTTCATCATTGCCTCCCTACATAATGGAATCAAATAACCAAATGCTAATGACAAGAACTAGCCAGCATTAAAATATAATAATAATTGAGCTTCGTTTTCCATTTCAAATGTTTAACTTGAAATTACTTAATAAAAAGAAGGACCTTTTTAGGTACCTTTGGTTCCGAGGATTCTTGGGAATCCATTTGCATTGAAGTGCCTTCCTCTGGGGCTTTAGCATTTGATTTTTCCGACTCAGAATCAGTTTCCATCTTCTGTAAAATCAAGTTATTCCTGAATAAAAACGAAAACCCAGAAAATGTTTATGAGTTACTATCAAGCTAAGAACAAAGAAAAGGTATTTTCTAGAGAAAAAAAAAAGAGAGAAATGAAAAGATAAGGACAAACCCAGAAAAGAAATGGGAAAATGGATTTTAAAAAAAGGGATGAAAACGAACCTCTCTACTGGAATTCTTCAAATGCCTTTGAGTTTGGAGTTGAAGGGTTTCCAGTTCGTAAGGGAATATAGGAATGAGGGTTTTACTCTTTTTTAGTTTCGGTTTAATTATATATATGCAGAGAAAAATGGGTGAAAGGCTGAAAAGGGCCTTTGATTTTTAAGGGGCTTGAAGAAGGCCCAGAAAGAATTGATAACCCACCCCGAAGGGGATTTTTTTTTCTTTTTAGGTCTTGTGGCTTTTACAGTGCTTGTATTTTTACTTAAACAAATTATCAAATAAATTGCTAGTATAATTTTTTTAATTTTACAAGTAGGGTCAATAAGGTAATATAAATCCTTTAGACTATATTTAAAAAATAAAAAAATTAATTAAAAAAAAGTGAGACATATGTCATCCTATTAATTTTACTTGTGGAGTTAAAATATTGATAGTATATCAAATAATTTTTCTTAATTATTTTAAATATATATTTATATATTTACCCTAAAAGAAAAGTGAAACAGTTTTTAAGCAAAGTTAATTTTTTGAACTATTTAAACTTAATTATTTGAAGAAGTCATTTATAATCTTAACTTACTCTTGTGCAGATCACATTACTTTTTACAAGGACTATTGTAGATATCTTATTTAGTCCGGTGTCAATTTATCTTTTAAGATTAAGCTTTGAATTTTCTTTTATTTTTGGTATTGTATTTAGTTTAGAGTTATTATTATTATTATTTTAAAAAAAAAACTAAAAAAGGAAAAATAATTATTTTATTGAAACTTGAAGAGGGTTGGATTGTTGAATTGAAAATGTTCTAATTTAAAAAGGATTATAAAAGGGAATTGGTTTAAGAGGTGGAATTTGATTAAAAATCTAATATTAAAGTTGATTAGGAGATTCAAACAAAAAAAACTCATTTTTCTATTGTAATTGAGATTAAAGGCCTATAAAAAGATCCCATTAGGATTAATTAAAAACAATCAAAAATCAATCAAAAAAAATCAAGAGAGAAAGAGTAAAAAAATTAAGAGTCTTTTTTAGTCTTTTCTAATGTTTTAGGTTTAGATAATTAGGATTTTCTTTTGAGAGTTTTGTATTGGAGAAACAAGTTGAGAAGAAAGAGTTTTGTTTAAACCAAAAAGAAAGGAAATTTTCAAAGGTTTCAGGTATATATATTTTAGGTTTTTGTTTGATTTTTGTTTAAACAAAAAAGAAAGGCAATCACCACAGGCGAGGGGCGCCAATGAAGTCATAGGCTATTTTATAGAAAAATAAGAAAAAAGACAATGAGGTGAAGAAGTAGGAAAAGTAAAAAAAGACTAACCCAATTTGAAGATCCAATCCAATAAGAAGACCAAATCATAACTAGTTCCAACAACTAGTAAATTGAAGTGGACAAGCACAATTACAAAGTCTCACGTGCTTTGGAATTAATTGTAACCCAATTTATTTGGTAATTTCTATTTTTTTTCTTTATTTGTATATCTATTTATGTTACTTAGTTGTTTTTCTTTATTCTTTTATGCATATTTAAAATAAATTTATATAATAAATTCATGATTCCTACCAAATGATTGTAGAATTTAAATATTGAATTATGAATTCTACCAAAGGTTTGGAGAATTTCATAATGAATTTTCAAAAAATAAATTTTCAATCCTACCAAATGATTAGAGGATTTAAGTTTCTAAATTAATTCTTACCAAACTATTAGAAAATTTAATGATAATTTTTAAAAAAAATTTTGTAAATAGGTTTTCAAATAAAAATCCAACCAAACGATTGATAGATATGCATCAAAATAAAATCCTACCAAATAATTGGAGGATTTTATTGATTGTTTTAAAAAATAATGTCTTGAAAAATATGTTAATATATCTGATGATAGAATCTCTTAAAAGTGAGACATAAGTTTCCATGAATACTTTTAAGGTGAAAAAATTATCTTAAATCACTACCAAACAATTAGAGTAATTTTAAGATTAATTTTCAATAATTAAATTTACTTGGTAAAAATTCAAAAATATTTTAAGGCTTGAATTACATGAAATCAAACCGGTACCATCTTTCGATGGGTGTTATCAAGGTGATATAACCTTTCTCACATGTAACCGTACTCTTAAATTTAGATCTAATTTGTGGATTAGAATCTATCATTTAAAGATACCTAAGTCAAGGTTAGGATATCGTGTTATCTTTTTAGGTGGGATGGTGATCCATGATAGGGGTGAATTGGATTTCTCTAAATTCTTTTCAAATAATGATTTCAATATAGTTGAATAGAAATTAAAATAATAAGCACTTTTGATGAAAATATAATACAAACAATAACAATTAATGAACCTAAAATCCAATATAAACAATAATAAATTGTAAGGAGATAGGAATAGAGAAATCAAACATAATGATTTATAAAGGGTTCGGTCCTTCAAGGCACTTATATCCTCTCTTCTTGATTGTTTACACCAAGGCTTCAATCCACTATTCTTGAATTGAAAATATAACCTATCTTTTTCTTTCTAAGGCTTAAGATAGAAACATCTACCCTTTGTAGTATTTTACCCAACTCACTACAAAGCTCTCAAGAGGATACCTCACCTTTTATTCTCTTTCACCTTTATATATCAAAGGTAATTTTGTAAACAATAGAACAATCTCTCTAAGGCTAAGTATTTACTAAGTTTAAGTACAAGAAAATGATGAATGAACAACAAATATAATTTGGATATAATAAATACAAAGATATAGGCTTTGAAGCTCTTAAAACTCTTAATTATTTGAGAGAATGAAAATATGGTTTGTTGGCTTTTGCTCTATTGATCCATCAACTTTTTTAGTGTGTTGGAGTGCTCAATTTATAGAGAAATTGAGGAAATGGCTGTTGAAAATGTTTGAGAGAAGAAAATAGCCATTGGAAGCATGAAAAAAGCCGTTGGAGTGATCTTGCCTAGATCCAATCTATCCCTTCCTTTAGGGGATCGATTGGTTCACTTTTGGAAGCCAATTTTGCCTTTAAAAATGCCTACTCAATCGATCCCTTTATGTAGGGGATTCGATTAGTTAATGAGGTGATCGATCCCCTACATATGGTGATTGATCCCTTCTTGTCATTTCAACAAAAAATTCGTTTTCTGGGTAAAAAAGCAATCGATCCATTTCCTAAGGGGATTGATCCTGTCCAAGCTGAGTGGTTGTTTCCTATTTTGTACTCTACTTACTAATTTGATCATAACTTGAGTTATACAAATTCAAATCACAAACTATTTAAGTATTTAGAAACTAGACTTAAAAGGCTTTCTATCCATATAAAATTCATCACTTAATTCATTGTGTACGAATTATAGTGAATTTTCAAAATTACCTTTTATGCAGTTTTTAGACAACTACAGAGCGTCTATTAAAAATTCAAAATCTTTTTTTAGAAAATTTGGATTTTGATTTTGTTTGATCCATTAGAAAGTAGATTCAAAGAGCTTTCTAACCATATTAAATTCAAATATTAAAACTTTGTGAATTAATACAGAAAAATAAAATAAGTTCAATGTTAGAAAACTTTGTTTTTGTAAAACAACTTTCTTAAGTTAATCTATTTCTCAAAACCAATATTATTAAAATTGTATTAAGTTCAAAATGAACAAATTCACTTTAAAAACAATAATTGAACTTTCATTTAAGCTCAAATAAATAATCTTTAAAGATAGATTTGGTTTGAGAAATATGAAACCAAGAAAGGTTTGTTTAAACTTTGAAAATCATATTATTTATTTAATACCAAAATATAAAACTTAAGAACATGTACTAAATAATTCTTTTTCAAAATCTTGATCAAGGTTATTTAGCTTTAATGTTTTATTATTTCAAAATAAGGATCAATTCAAAGCTAACATATCTCTTTAAAATGGGACAGATTTGTTTAAGTGACCAATTGTACCTAAACAAAAAAAGATTTGTGGCGACTCCTAAAGTCAAGTCTAGTTATAAGTTTACGGACTTATACATTATGATAGTTTGGCGACTCCACTTGGGATAACCAAGAGTCAAGCCGGTAAATAAATTTGTGCTATCCAAGCTGAATGTCCTAAAATTTTTTTCTTTTTGATTTATTTTTAAGCTTTTAATATTTATTCTATTATTCACTTGCATCTGCATAATCTGCATAACATGAGCTATATACCTAAGCTTCGTCCCTTAGAAAAGAGTAAAATACCTACACTTTCATGAGATCTTATATCTCCACCTAGGCTACTAAAATACTCTCATTTAAATTGAACATTTTCTGCTTGTAACCTATAATGGGCAAGGATTGGAATACCTTACTAATCTGTGATGGATAATGATGTGAGAAACAATTTGGTAACCTTTAGTGTTAACCCAAACCACATGTAGTAAAAAATAAAAAGCCAACATTAGGTTAAAGCCATATTTACCCATCATTAGAATGTAACCCTAGTTAGGACATATGAGTGAACTTTTTGAGTTTTATTTTATCTCTTATTTATTGTTAAGTTGTTGTATATTGCGTGTTGTATTTTAATTTAGCATCACTAACATATTGTATTTTAATCTAGCATCACTAACATATGTATTCATCCATGCATTATAATATGACAAATATCAGTACATGCATTCATTTACCCATTCATACATTTTTGTGCATACAATCATGTGTTTATGTATCATAATTTTATGTCAAGCATTCAATGTATTCATTCATTTATGCATATGAGATTCTTAAAAAAAAGGTTAGGTTAATTTTGAATTTTTTTTGCATACACATTTAGTAATATAAGCATAGTAATTATGGTATACAAGGTTCAAGAATAGTGCTATTGTCCAAGAACCTTACTCACCACCAAGACAACACCAGAGTCTGAGTCAGATAGATGGAACAAGAAAACTCTAATCATTTTGACAAGATAGAGAAAGCTTAAGAAGAGCTCAAGAGGGAATTGAATAAAATCTTGGAGGCCCTAAATAAACTAAATAAAAGAAAAATGGTGGAAATCTCCAAGTTAGCCAGAGTTTTCAGTGCAAGATGTTATTGATCCTTTGTACCCTTCAAGATTTAGCCTTTATCAAGGCCAGCCTTCTCAAGGGACACAAGAAAATTTTCCTGGGATAT